AAAAAAAAAAGGAAACAGATTCAAAGAAACAAGTGACTTCCAGTTCCCTTATTAGTAGAGTCATAAGTCAAGCCAGGGAGTCCAAGTCTCACTATGTAAGTTGCAATTTCCTTCACATGACTAGATACCATGAGGAAACTGAAATGGAAAAAGAACTCTAAGTTAAATTATAAGACATTTAAACCTTGCAATTTAAATTATAAAATATTTAAATCTTAGATTTTCAAAATTTCCTATATAAAGTATTTCTTAGGTTGACAGGGATCCATAACCTAATGGAATTCTTGTTAATCACCTTGGAAATAATAGGCAGACAGCAACTTGTTTTGACATGTGAATCTTTTGTTTGTCCCTAGCTGCAGACATTTTTTGAGACATTCCTGAGGGCCAGTTCACCTCTGCAGGCATTTGATAGCATGAAAGAGGCAATCAGCAAGCTCCTGCTGGCCACTGAGGTGTTCAGTAAAACATCTACTCCAGGACCAAAGACCTTCCATAGGTGAGGGGATGGGGCCTTCTCAAAGTACTAAGGAGAACAGCCTTAATTATCACAAGGAAAGAGGACTTTTGTATGCCAGTATAGAATATGAACTTCTCTTAGCTGGGCATGGTGGCACATGCCTTTAATCCCAGCACTTGTGAAGCAGATGCAGGCAAATCTCTGTGAGTTTAAGCCCAGCCTGACCTACATAGCAAGTTCCAGGCCAGCTGGGGCTACAGGAAGACCCTGTCTCAAAACAAACAAAGGAAAAAAAAAAAAGAAAAAAATATGATCTTCTCAACACAATAGCCTAATTTATAGATCCTAAAACTCAGAGCACATTGAAAGTCATCTGTTAATATCCAATAGTGGTGACAAGAAATAAAGCACAATTTAAAATTATTTATTATTATTATTTGCAGCAGTCTTACATTGTAGCTCAGGCTGGCCTTGAACTCATGATCCTCCTGCCTTTACCTCTTAAGTGCTGGATTTATAGGCTTGTACCTCTGTGTTTGACTCCTAAAACTAACTTTGAAATTGCAGTATCCTTTCAAGTTCTGCTACTTCAGTCACATTTGCCAAGTGTTGGCTAGATATAATTTTACCTATCCATAATAAATTTTGTTCTTAAATATCCTAACAATTTCAAAATATAGAGAACAAAACAAAAATTAGTTAACAAAATTCAATAACCTCTGCTCTCATATTTCAGCTTCTTTGAATGTAACTTATTGCCTTTGTCCTAAGGAAATGTTAAATCTAGTTTGCCAAAAAGGGAGAGGTACTCAATGTGTTATGGTCATTTTTATACTTTATATATGAACTAGTATTGAGTGTGGGGGAGCTGGAGAGCTTTCTTCTCTATAGTAAGGTTTTCATGGGCTAATGTCCTTGGCTATTTTAATGTGTTATGAATAACAGACACATATTTGCATTTCACTTAATAAAGGAAATGCATTCCAAATTCAATAATCCACTTCATGTAATTTTCTACTATCCACATCACTGACTTTTTAAATTAGTATAGATACTGAAATTTAGCTATATAATTATTGACAATGTGATATCAAATAATAGAGTAAGTGTGGCAAAGAGCATATATTTCATGTTACTTTGTGGTTTTGTTCCAGATGCAGACTTTGTTTTCAGCTTTTAACTTTTGATATTGGTTATGGAGATCTGGGGCAACCTGTAATTCTCCAGGTAGGTGTGCAGAACAAAGTGTGTGTGGGGGGGGGTATTTTCATTCACAGTAACTACTTAAAGACAACTTGCATTAAAGTCACTACAGGTTTATAAGCCCATAGCTCAGGAAATTAGCAAGTGGGGAATCTATGAATTATAGTCCCCCTTGTGTATCACTCTAGGACAAACATGATTTTTTTAAGGTTCCACTACATTTATAAAACAAATATTACATTAACTAAAGTATGTTTTAATGGAGAAAAATAAGACATGTGGATAATAGAAAACAGAAGGCAACCTAGGGTACTCATACAGTGTTATGAAAAAATGGTTCTGTCTGTTAGTCTTCATATACAGGTACATCATTTTTAATTGGTCTATATTTTGATTTACAAAGCCATGGAGAAGTTGCTTAAGTGTAATATTCTTGCCAAGCATGTGTGAGATCACATGCGTCATGCCTAGCAGTACAAAGAAGCTAGAAAGACAAAAACGTAAAAATCCCTGGGAATTTTTGAAATAGTTTTTTTTCTAGTATAAGTATATATAAATGAATATTTTTGTATACTTGTTTTCTTTTTCTCTTGAATTGAAAATCTTTCGGACCCTTTCCCCTGGCACATTATTTTTATAAAATAGCCTTCAGTGGCAAAAGAATTTAAGAAAATGATTCAGTTAGTTTATAAAATGCTGTCTATTGGGAAATAGAGTGAGATGAAGGAAGAGGAACAAAATCAAACATAGATGACCAAAACTCAATGTCACTAGTATTTTTTAAACTATAATGTAGAGAATCCACTTACAAAAAATTGGTCAAATAGCTTTAATATTTATCTATAACATTTTCAATCTTTGTGACGTTTTTAATGGCGATTTTGTGTACACATATCTAATATTTGGTATTATGTTTTTCTAAATGTACATTCCAGGAAAAGAGCTATGAACAAAGGTTTGTGAGGTTGTGAAGAATTTCCAGATAAATTCACATGACCGTATAATAGTTCATGCTCCTATACAGGAAAGAACAGCACCTTTTGAAAAGAAACATTTAGGAAACTGTTGACCTCCAAAAGACCACTAGGTGTCAGTTCTGGTCTACAATACAACAGGAAATCAATCATGCCTTACAATTCATTCCACCGTACTTAAGGTCAATGAAAAACATTTCCTCAACTTCTTTTCTTTCCAAGGTACACGAACATTTAAAATTTCAAGATAATGATCATTTGGATTTGGAGGACCAAAATACAGAAGAATTCCTTTTAAAGGATACGTTTGATTTTCTCTTCTCTAATGCATCTTCACTGTCTATATTTTCTGAGATACTGCAGAGACTTGATCGATCAGGTGTATTTGAGGTAAGTGCATACTTGTATACTGACAAGTAGTTTTTCAGTCATTATTTTTATTGAAAAATTTAGAAATTTGATAATTTATTTGAGATTAATTGGTAATTGGTTAATGTCATATTGCATCTATAAATTTTTTTCTGATCTAAGGATCAACATCATTTTATATTGACTTAGTGTGCAAGTGAGTAAGTGTGATAAAAATGAAGTAAAGCAGTTCATAATTCCTCAGGAATGTTTGTGGGTATTATGAATAATACATGTTTATACATTTTAGAATAGCCATTAGAACTCTTTGAAGGCAATCTACAATACCAGAGTGCTCACGGGAATTGAATTATAACATTAATTTTCTTAAACATACATATCTCTTAATATTTGACTAGATTCTCACTATTAGTACTTCAGAGAGGCATTAATTTTTTAATTAATAAATAAAGTGACATTTTTAGGTTAGCAAAATTCTTGATACAATAAATCTGTATAGATTACCATAGTATTATCTCCTACATATTTTTCTATTTTGAAACTCATGTTTGAAGAATTTGGAAGAACAGAATGTAAAAGGCCTCACAAAGATATGGTTGGTATATCTCTCACAAATATCTTTTCATAGAGCATCACTGTTGATCTCAGAGAGGTGCTAGGAAACAAAAGGATATGGGAAAATAAAATGGAGACGTCAGCCTGCAAGTCTATGAAGCTCTCAGTGGCATGGAGCCATCCCACAAAGGGGGGGTTCATGTGTAGATGCTTATCTGATGCTCTCGCCTCTAGTGCTTTGAAGGCCAGAGCAATATTTTGCCTTCCCTAACACTTTCACACACATTCTGTTTCCACCCTCCCCAACTTCACTACTAAGGCACCCTTGGCCTCTTTCATCCAGTCTGTGTTGACAGTTCTGAAATGTTTCTTGTATTCAATCATCATTGTAACAACTTAAAGTTACTATGAACTATATAACATTAATTAGCTTAGTTGTTCATAGAGTTCAAAATTTGATTGGTTTATTATGTGGGAGGCAACTGGGATAGAGATGATTTGACTTTTTCACAACTGCTTAAGACTTTTTCCTCTCTAATATAGGATGGAAACTATCAAGAAGAATTAAATCAATGCCTGTCTTTAGAGGAAGTTCACTCAGTTATGACTTTCATAAAGGAACTTGGGAGTCTGGGACAATTCCAAATGGTAAAACAAAAGTGACATTTGTTTCCACTTGATGACTGAGATTATAGTATTAATAGTATCGGTCATAAACTGCCTGCTTTTTCCTTCTATTTCCTTACAAAATAAAAATCTTTGTAAGTGTCTGTCTTTCTTTTAGATAGTCAGATGAGCACAATCTATACACTTTGCTCTGAGTTTGCTGATAGCATGTGACTTACCAAAGGTCAAGGATACAGTGTGGCTCTAGGATGTGGAAGTTCTGTAGGGAAAATGTTGGCAGTTTTTAAAGAAGTTTTGCTTTTAGCTTTGGGGCATATACATGCAACCACTATTTATTATTCTTTGTTATTACCCTTTTATTTTGAGTAAAATTAAGTATAATTTAACATAATAAGACTTCAGAAAGTGAGCTAAATCTTAATTGGTTCTAACAATATAGCATCAAAAGAAATGAATGTGAACACATATCAGCTTTTACTGGCTTCAGTCTTTAGGCATTTTTTTCTCTTCTTGAAGTTTTTGTTGTTGTTCTATCAATTTGTTGGTCAAAATCAAAGTCTAATTGTTTAAATATGAATGTCCATGCTAAGTGTCTCTTTTCTTTCATTTCTGATACTAATAGAGACTGTAAAATATGTTTAAATAGTATTTAAAGATTAATTAAAATTATTACTAATAGTTTTTATTAGTTTGGTTCAATCAGAGAGACCCTGTCTCAAAAAGACAAAAAAAATCTTATTTTTTTAAAAAAACTACAAATATATAAGCTACTTATATGAGTTGTGACCAGTTTACTAAGTTAATCATTGAGTGTTTGACATTTGATTATGCAATTTAGCCTTCTACTTTAGAGGACTGAAAGATTATTCCTCTAAGATAATTCTATTGATATATTTATTGTGTTAATTTGTATGGAGTAAATGAAAGTTTAGTTCAATGTTATAGGAAGATAATCAGAGAGTCACCTGTAGGAATTCATCATTTAATATACTGTGAATACAGAGAACATCTCTTGGTATAAGAGGAACTAAAGAATTGTTTTGCCTCCATTTCCTGACTCTCAAGGGTAGAAACAAGATAACCAACTTCTTCTTTCTGGGTGAGCTCAGCAGCTCTCACCCTGACATAATTCACTTGTAGCCCAAAAGAACTCTCTTCTCTTTTCTTGCTGCCTGACTCCCTCTGTTATTTAGCAGTTTTCAGGTATTGATAGCAGAAAGGAGAGATCTATTTGTACCCAATGAAAAGAAGAGAAAAGTCATTCCATTTGGAAATATGATTGCCAATAAAATTAATGCTGCATCTGCCTTGACAACTGTATGGAAAATTATGATTCTGACCAACAGATTGTGTATATGTATGTATGTGCATGGGAATGCACATGCAAGTGCCCTCCTCCACATATGTGTGTGGAGACCAGAAGAAAACCTCAACCTTTGTTCCTCAGGTGCCACCACATTATTTATTGAAACAGGACCTTTCATTGGCCTGGAACTCAGCAAGTAGGCTGGTCCAACTAGTCAGTGAGGCCTGGGGATCTGTCTATCTCTGCCTCCCCAGTGCTGGGATTCTGTATGAATGCATGTCACCATGCCCAGCTTTTTATGTGGGTTCTGGGGGATTGAACTCAAGTCCTCCTACTTGCAGGCAAGCAGTATTTACCAACTGAGCTGTCATCCCAGCCTCTGACTAACAGATTTTTAAATAAATAGCTGCTTGAAAAAATATTTGATTAACTATAAAGACCCTTCATAATACTATATTTCAATTTACTTTTCAAAACTTCAGCTGTTACTTTTCTTCTGTTGATACATTGTTTTGAACATTTCTTTTCAGCTCTTCCCATCCCTTACTCCTGGGATTCAGTCTCTGATGCATGAATTTTATGATATGGCAACTCCTGGCTCAGTCCTATCCCAATACTCGTCTCTTTTAAATATATTTGAACAATTTTGGCTCTTGAATAAAAAGGCACAGCTACATCCATTGGAATGGTAAGATAGCCGCAAATTGGAATTGTGCAATCCAAAAAAATCTTGAGTCTAATATCTAAGGATTGATTTCAAAAGGCTTTGCCTACATTAAAGCAAGCAACAAGAACTATACCCCAAATTCATGGTCTAGAAAATAAATGACTTTAAAGCATTGAAACTGTAATGATTCTAGTGGTCTTAAAACACTATAACGAAAAATATATTCAACAGTTTTTCTGACAATGATGGGATTCCACTATAAAGTAAGATTTAAAATAAAAAAATTCAATCTCATTTCATCCTGTGATCCATACTCTTGCATCAGACAGGAACCGTGACACAGGAAGAATGGGGTGGGATTTGTCTTTTGAACCATTTGTTAGCCTGGAGCCTGATACAGTGGGAATATTTATTTGGGGCAGGGGGTCCTAGAAGTATGTCTTTATTCTGGGAAAAAACAAATCTAATTTTACATGTCTATAATCTGTCTTTTAGTTTTGTTTTTAGAAGGTAGTTTCCCAGCTCCACTTCCATTCTAATGAGAAGTAGCCATAAGAGGGGTTGGCAGGTGAGATGTCAAGGCCTCCAGTAGCTGGCAAAAGGGACTCACCTAACATTCTGTCTGCTCCTTAATATGGATGGAATTAAGGGAGTATTTGACTTTTCTACTGCCAGGAAAACAGAATTAGATTTAGGCCTCCCAGGGAGATGAAAGACTAAGGGACATACCGCACTCATTTGTCTCTTACAGTCTGTGTTAGGAATGGCTTCATCTCTGCTGATTTATTTTTCATTTCCTTCTGCCTCAAGAGATAGTGACTATGGTTCTATAAGCAACTCTTTTGTAATTAAAACTAATCAGAAGACTTCTTAGACTATCTCCTAGTATTAGAACTTACTTTAATTGCTAAAACTTTATGAACTTGACCTTATTCCCTCAGTACCTAGAAGTTGTAAGCCCAACAGTTTTTGTGTGCTTAAAATTAAGTTTTAAATAATATAGCTTAAAGCCAATTTTTATATTTTACATTCACTCAAATAGTCCAAGACTGTCTCATTCATCATTATAGGTAGGCAAGGAACAGACGTAATTTCCCAAGGGGCCTATTTAGTATTGTTTTTAACTTTGAAATGAATTCCCTAGAGATTTGCAAGCTTTACAACATTTGTTATCCAGCAAGGTTTTCCCTTGCTCTACAGATATTACAAGTTAAACAGTTTAATGATTAAAATTAGAAGACTGGGTTCTCTTACAATTAGAAGTGTAGTAACAGTGGTCATGGTTAAGTGTAACTAGAAAAGACTCTTTGGAATCATGAAGACTTGCATCAAAAATTAATCCCAACTTTAATGCTTATTAATTATGGCAGGTAAAAATCTGAATTCTCTAAGACTTAAAACTTAGTGTCTTACACTTAGTTACTATTCTTTTGCTGTGGTAAAACACCATGATCAAGGCAACTTATAGAAGGAAGAGTTTATTTGACTTATGTTTCCAGTGAGATAGGAGTCCATCAAGGTAAGGGAGGCATGGTGGCAGAGGCAGCTGGAACAGAAAGCTGAGCCCTCACATCTCCAAGTATGCACAGGAAGGAGAAAGAGAGAGAGAGAGAGAGAGAGAGAGAGAGAGAGAGAGAGAGAGAGAGAGAGAAACTGGAAGTAGGGATGAGGCTTATGCCCCCCGCCCCGTGACCTACTTCCTCCAGCAAGGCTGCACCTCCTAGAAAGTCAATGTCCTGCCCCAAACAGTGCCACCAACTGACAAGTGTTCAAATACGTGAGCCCACAGGAGACATTCTCATTCAAACCATCACACTTTAGTTTCTTCACCTGTGAAATATGGATTAGAGTGCCTACCATGCATTGTTCCGGGAGGATTACGTAAAAGAGTTTCTGTGTATCTCATGCTATAGCCCAGGTAGGTGATAATACCAGTATTATATTCCTTTCCATGTTTCAATGTCAAAGGCTACTTTAGCTTCTATGGCAAGGGTAACACTTACGTTCCTAAGACTTCCTTGTATTAAAATAGATACAAGAAATTTAGATATTTATCAAAAGTCAAGTAGCATATTTTTCCTAGAATTTTTTTTAAGTTCTCAGTTTAAATTGCCTTCTGTTTACCAGTGAGTACGTACACCTCATTATCAGTGATTCCTTATTGCAAAGAGGGTTCCATTCCTCTTATACAAATTTTCTAGATGAGGAAATTATGATTTTGGGGGTTAAGACACCAGCTAATAAGCCAGACTTAGTGATGCACACCTTAATCCCAGCATTCAGAAGGTAGAGACAGATCTCTGTGAGACTGAGGCTAGCCTGGTCTATATAGTGAGTTCCAGGCCAGCTGGCGCTACAGGGAGACCCTGTCTGAAAACACACACACACACACACACACACACACATACACACACACACACACACACACACACACATACACACACACACACACACACACACACACATACACACACACACACACACACACACACACACACAAAACACCGGTGGTAGAGTTTGAACTGGGGTCTTGATCTTCTCCCCCATAGTCCAGCACTTGTATCCAAATGTATCTTGAAGATAGGATGGTTATCACAGTTTATCTTCAATCTTTACAATGGCCACTTCCAAAGTCTTTCTATACAATAAATCAATTTTGTATACCTCCACTACACTTGGGATCTAGTGATTTCATCTTTCCTTTTAAATAAGGACCATTTGCTTGTAGCAACAGGGTAAGGAAACAAAATGTTAGAACAGCAACAATAGTAGGTGATAATTATGCCTGGGCTCAGAGGCCCTAATCCAGAGGCCCCAGTGGAGTGAGTGTGAATCTCCATGGCATGGGAACCTTAAAGATGTCTAGGCACTATCTGTTACTTTTCACTTTCCTGAAAATAAAATTGCTTGTGTGCTTTGCTTTGTGAAAATACTTTCCAAGAAAATCTACATGGATTCAAAATAAATAATTGATTCATAAAAATATCCAAGAAGTCACTGTACAATGCTGCTATGTACAAATTTACTGTACAAATTCTCTCACATCATTAAGGCTGTCATGCTTCCACAATTCAGTTTATGTGAATTTCAGGTTGATATCTTTTGAGGGACTCTCCTATAGGCTTTCTTTCCTTCATGGGAATTCTGAGAATTTTGTTTTTCAGTTTGGGCTTTAACTAAACATCCCTCATTGGTGGAGTGCTTGCCACTGTGCAGAAGACCCTGGGTTGGATGCCCAGCATCTCAAAAACAAAAACAGAAATAAAGACCACTGTCAAAACCCTCATATCTCTTGCTTTATCTGTTATTCCATTCCTTGGAAAGGAATCTGTATTTTATCCTCAATTTGTTGTATATACCAAAGAAAATGAATTTTTAGAAATAAAACTATCAATCATAGCATCTTACCCTGGCAATGATAGAAGTGCTGCTTAGCAATTAGTAAAATATGTTTAATTTCTAGGTTTTCCTGAATTTCCTGTCTGATCACTGTACTTTAAAGGTCTGAAGGTGCCTCACCTACCTCTGTGCTGCCATCATACTCAGCACAATATTTGACACAGTAACTTCATGTAAAATATTCTTCAGCACTAGCATTTTATTTGATGCTCATAGCGTGCCTGTGTGAAGCAAATACTATTATTTCCATTTTTATGTGGTGACAACAAAGGGCCATAACAACACAGAAGAGTCATGTCAAGGGCCAGAGATGACAATGTCGTATGTTCTCTTATTATATAGACCAGAAATTTTTTGATTGCAGTTTGGATTATTTTGGTTCCAATTTTTAAGAATTTAAAAGTTCAGAGAAAATGAAGTGAACACACCAAGATATAAGCAAACTTTTGCAATTATCTACTGTTCATCAGAGTTTAAGGACAGATGCCTTGGCAACATAAGTCATTTCCTACAGCTGTGATTCCTCCAGCTTTGTGTACGTTCTTAGGCTGTATCTCAGCCCTTTCAAGGCTCTTTGCCTCAAGGCTATGGAATGCTAGGCAGAAATCCAAGTAAGAATGTGTATTCTTGAATCACCTCTGTTGGACCTAGGCTATCTGAGGTTGCTTAGCTTTGGACTAGAGAGTGATTGTTTTTCTTGACTTTCTTCAACTATGCATGTACTGATTAGAGATGATGAGATTTCCACCCACCTCACTGGAGGCTAGATTGCCAGCTTTCAGGAATGAAATTCAAAATCTGTTTCTTTGTCTTTATCAAAATAACTGCCCACCTAGGAGAAAAGATAGTGTGCTCACTTCATTGATCTAGACTTGTTTGGTATTGTATTTGCAGGAATTCTTCAACAGGAAATGAGACCACTGAGAACCCACAAGAGTCACTGGAAGTGAACAAAAATAAAAAAGGTAAAGCATATAGCCCCACATATTCCACTTAAAGATTAGTATTCCCTGGCTAAAAAAAAAAAAGTACATTTAAGATATTAAACTTCATTAGCAATCAAACCCCAAAATTAAGCAAGGAAACGCTATCCCCCCAAAATTGAATTTTTCTTTTTAAGGAGACAAATGAAGGAAAATGAGTATTCTGATAATGACTGTGAATGTTTAAATTAGGGCATATATTAAGGGACTGTTTAATAGCACAGAAAGAAAGCTTTAAAAGTTATTCTTGGGCTGGGACTTCAGCATTCAATGGTAGAACTCGTGCCTAGCATGGAGAGGCCTTAGGCTCAATCTTTAATTCCAAAAACTAAATTGTTTAGTTAGACGAAAGATATTCTTACAGGCTAGAAATTCCATGGCTAAATACTCAAGAAAATAATTAATAATATGTATGAACATTCAGTTAAAAATTTAAATATGCTAATAAACAGTAACATAACTTCTGAAAAAGTTCAGCACTATTCATAGAAGGATATATCAGCAAATTATAAAGAATAAATAAATTAGTAATAAATGAAAAGAATTAGCAGCCACCATTATTGCCATAAGAGTATATTGACTACACTATTAGCCTATAATCATCCAGTGGAATTCTATACATAGCATGGAAAAGATTTGGCATGAAAGATGTTTA